GACAAGGGATGAGTCAACGTGCTGTGGCTCGTCACCTTCGTTTAAGCCAGTCCTGTGTGTCAAAAATCTACAGAAGGTTCAGGGAAACTGGAGAGTTCGTGCGAAGACCAGGATCTGGGCGGCGCCGGTGTACTTCTGAAAGAGATGACAGATTTTCGTAACGACTTCTCTCCGAAACCGTCATCTGACTGGTGTAGACGTCCAACAGGAGCTAAGACAGGTACGAGGGACAGCCGCCAGTGAATGGACAGTTAGGAGAAGACTCAAAGAAGCTAACCTTACCCCGAAACGTCCTGCTACAGGACCGAAATTAACTCCAAGGCACCGACAAGCACGATTACGATTTGCTCAGGCGCACTACGATTGGGAAGTCGAGCAATGGAGAAGAGTTATGTTCTCGGATGAGTGTAGGATGTGCCTGCACGGAAGTGATCGTAGAGGGAGAGTATACAGACGACCTGGTGAACGATTTGCTCAGTGCTGCTTTGCCGAAACCGTGGCTTATGGGGGTGGTTCGTGTATGATGTGGGCAGGCATTTCTATGGAAGGAAAAACTGAGCTGGTTTTTGTGCCTAGTGGTGGTCGGGGAGGAGGCCTAACCGCGGATCGATATGTATCAGATATTCTGCTAGAGCACGTCATTCCTTATGCTGGGTTTATTGGCGAAAATTTCATGTTGATGCATGATAACGCTCGGTGCCACACTGCACGAGAAACGGTTGAGTTCCTAAGGGAAGTCGGTATCGCGACGATGGACTGGCCAGCTCTAAGCCCGGACTTGAACCCTATAGAGCATTTATGGGATGAGCTCAAACGAAGGGTTCGAGCACGAAATCCAGCTCCTGAAACAATCAATGAGCTGAAAATGGCGCTGGTAGAGGAATGGGAGGAAATACCGCAAGAAACAGTCAAAAAACTCATCAGGTCCATGAGAAACCGTTTACAAGCAGTAATAAGGGCTAGAGGAGGAAATACAAAATACTGAAACAATAACTTATGCCTGATTTTCTTTGCTGTCTTAAATAAAGATGATTAGCTCCTGAAATACGGAAATGAATTTTTTGTTTCTACCCTTAATTTAAAGCTAAAAGTATAGGCTTTCAAACGAGACCATAAACATTTAACTGTAAATATTGTATCATTGGCCATCGTTGTATTTGTATAGCGCAAGGGGGTGATTCCATTTTTTTGCTCGCGAGTGTATTTGTCAGTGTTCTATGCAGGTCTCCATAAAATTCTGTTTTGTTTGAAAATTTATTATATGAATTGTCAATTAATCATGATTCTGCCAATGTGGCCATTTTAGCCTTGTTGATACTATAATTTCATTCATGTAAGTAGTCTTAGGCTGCTACAAACAAACTTAATGTGCGAAGTGAAAGTTACTCGACTGCATGCAGTTGACCGCGACTGCATGCGTGATTTGCAGATATGCAGCCCATCTGTTAGCCTTAATCTAGCAAAGAATTAACTCTAGCAAAATATCTACTTTTAAATTTAGAGTAGTCTTGTTTCTTCGTTAAGGAAGAACGAGATATCTTGTCAGTCTCTTCTTGGTGTTTAAAATAAATAAAACAATGTTGGATAGCATCAATTCTCCCTTTTTTTAATCATAACGTAAATAGAAGTGTTATCGCCACATTGTTTAGTTTGGAGCAGTTTGTGCTTTCCTGCAACTGTTACCAGATCTGTCCACGGTTCGTCTTCGGATAATCTTTGCTACGTGCAATGAACCCCACCCACTGCCACGAAGTTTTGCAACTCTCTGGCCTTTGTATACTAAAGTCAATGAAAATTGATTAATAAATAAATATAAAATTGAAACACAATAATAAATATAAACCTCGATATTCCTGTAGCTTAAGTTCTCTATTCCTTCTCACCGTACTGGTTTCTGTCTTATTCTTCCATCTATCACAATCCGTCTTTGGAACACGATCCCGCTCCGATTAAGACAACCGCAGACCAAATTATATTTCAAGTATCTTTTTGACAACCTTCAAGATCTAACCTCTGCTAATTAAGTATCTATTTTAATAGCTAGAGAGCTCCTGTGTAAAAGAATGCGTTCAGGGAAGTACGTCCACCGTTTCGGTCTTGAAGGGTAAGGGTGCTGGTGAAATTACAGGCACATGGGTCTTGTCAATTTATGTCTCAGGGTGACGGGCCAGTGGCAGTGCTTCTTAGATCTTTGCGATTTAAAGCTTTTTGGGTGTCTCTGCAATTGGGATGGACAGGCGTGTCGCTTACCACCAGGCGCACGACTTGTTAGTACCGTCATTTTGATATCATAAAAAAAGTATGTTTATATTATTATCGTATAAATTGACTATCAAATTTTGGATTATAGCAGCTTGTTATTTTTGGTTTAAGTGTTGATACACTGGTGATCCAAACTATAGTTTTTTATCTGTTTTGCTCAATGGTTGACTGGTGAAGAATACCTTAGGGGATTAAGTCCACCATTTGTACGTTGTTGCATTGTGCAAAAAACTTTAATAATAACATTAAATAAACCATTCATTTGGCATCCAAGGCCCACTTGTTAGTAAATGGAGACTTTTTTTAACTTATGACTATTGTTAGTAAACACAGAGACCCCTATATTACCCCATGACCTCACCAGAACTTGGACGAAATAACGAAGCATCGGCGCATCGAGCTTAGTCGCGAACGTTTTCAAGATGCTGTTTGGACTAGAACGCAGCCTAGAGAGTAGCGAGTTCGCATTACAGCAAAAAAAGTCGTCTACTCCCGCTTGAGCAAACATCGACGATGCACTATGGTGTCGCGGTAGTCTCAATAGCATCCTGACACCGTTATTATATGGAACGCGCAGGGCGCCGAGTGCTTTCTGCGTATACTTAACCCACATACCACCCGTGTAGAAGGATTGACAATACGCCTTGAATAAAGTTATTTTGGCTTCCTCACTACAGCGGGCGAATCTATGTGCATATCAGCTGCAATATCAGCTTGGTCTTTAAGATCCTTTTCGAGAAGAATTTAAATAAATGTACGTGTATGTAATCTATTTCTGGTTATATACTTGATGATTGCACCACACCTACTTGTAGCTTTGAACATGAATCCATTCTTAATGGTCTGCAGCTTGGTTGAGCTTAGTGATGTAAATTACGTTAAGTTTAATTTTTCGTAGTTCTTATATTAATGCAGTTAAGAGTCAATACAACTGCATATGGCTTTGGTTGGTTCCGCATAACAGTGAATGTGTTGAATCAATCAGTTTAGAAATAATCTCAGTACAGAGTACTAAAAAACCGACCTCAAAAGTACGTGGAATTACGTCTATTTGCTAAGTTTCATTGAAATATCCCCTAGTTCGCCACTATACAGGACTTGATACTGGAGATAATGAAAATAGGTTCTCACTACGACACTACTCAAAGTATATCGAGAGAAAAACGCCTTGAATTGGAGAAATAGCAAAATCAACTAAATAATTGCTAAAAGTAATTGCTCCTAAATTAAAGTTAGGCGCTATTTATAAAAATGAATCTTCATGCGTGAACAGCCACCCTTTGAGGTGGATGATTTTCTTCAAAATGAAATCAGACCACTATGGAAATACCCTCTTTCCAACAAAAAAAGAATCATGAAAATCGGTTCACATTTACCGGAGTTATCGCGTAACATACAAACAAAAAAAAGAAAAAAAAAGAACGTACAGTCGAATTGAGAACCTCCTCCTTTTTTGAAGTCGGTTAAACATTTTCAAGATAGAAAAAAGAACACAAACCTACCTCGAAATTTTTCCACAAAACCGCTGTATTAAATATGTTATATAACCGCTGTATTAATTAAAAAAAATATTGGTAAAGCACCAATATTTTTTTTATATCAACCGAACTACATAGAACAGGTATAATATACAATATACATTTTTCAATTGGCTTTCATTGTGTTTGTAAAAAATAAATCTTGAAATAAAGACAGTTTCCCTACCGCTCGACACACGAAAGTACTCACACCACACATCGACTCTTAACAACTGCTCGATTCAAAATACTGCCAACGCCATCTAGCGGTATGGTTTTGAACTAAACGTAGAGGCACTAATTATGATTGTTACGCTATTTCAAAAATATTTCTCAACTAGAAATAAAGCCTTATATACCTTTCTTGTGGTTCAGTTTCGTCGTCGTCACGAGGCTCGTCATCATATTTTTTTTCTTTTAGACGAATTTTTTGATTATTCTGGCTCTTATTTATTGCCTTGTACTTTTCCATCATTTCACGTTTTTTCAATTGATCAAGGTCTTTTGTATTATTTAATGATTTTTCGTTTTTCATTAATGAAACTAAGTAACAAGGGCAAAGTGACCTGAAATTAGTAACGATTTAAACTGTAGAAGAGTTCGTCCAGGGAAGTACTGCCAGGACACCTATGTCAACCGCAAAGCAGCAATGCGAGCATTACTGCGTTCCGGTTTGAAGAATAAGAGTGCCAGTGAAATTACAGGCTCATAGGGTTTGTCAACTTTTGTCTCAGGGTGAGATTTCCGATATTATTTTGCTACTAAAATGTCCGGCAAATGTCAGGCTTTTTCTCCGGACTATTCTAATTTTGGAATGATAACCCGAGCATACTTAAAATTTTACCTTTCTTGATGTTCATCGTTTTCTTCGTCCTTATTTTCAATACAAAACAATTCAGCACTACCATCATTAATATCATCGATAGAATCTCTGCTCCAGCTCATTTTATGGCATTCATTTGCCATTGTTCCTTCACAGTTTTCAGTTTTTTCATTTAATTCATGATCATGGCCGTTTACCGTACCATCATTTGATAAATTTCGTCCAATTGGCTTGTCGATATGACTTCGAATACTTAATAAGGTTTTCTTAAACTCATTTTCTAAATTGTCTTCGTAACGTCCAGCTTTCATGTTTTCGTCAAATTCATTCATTAGTTTTTCTACGTAGCTTTCATTTAGTGTAGCTTCATCTTGTTCATTCACTTGGTTTTCTTTAGCGGTGTTTGCTTTTTCATAATTTTTAAAAATGTCACTAAAATATTACATTGTTAATACATTAATGAGCAGGTGCGGATAATTAATTAGCGAAACTCGATTGTAGGGTCACATTTAGCATTGCAAGCATTTTTAATACTAGTATTGGTGCACACCCAGCACGCTAGCAGTTGTTTCCTCATCGCCGCCCTCATAACTTGTGTGTAATCAAAAATGTAATTAAATAAAGTCAAAAATATTCGATTTTCACGTGGAATATCACTGCGAATACTTAGATTTTTTTTTCTACCCGGCTGGATTCGAACCAACGTCTTCCAGCAAACTGTGTCAGACGCTATGCCAACTAAGCCACAGAACGAACTAGTGTACCTTACGAATTTTTCAGGGTGCTTGTTGCAGATCTTTGTTTTTTGATTTTTAACGACTTAGGAAATGAAACAATTTTTCCGGATTCAAACGCGAAACGTTGGTTTGTTTAAAAAAACAAAAATACGCTATTTAAATCCGGAAAACTTGTTTCATTTCCTGTGTGTAACAATCGCAAAAACCTAAGAACTCGATTGTAACGACTGTTTTAGCTATCCATCCCTGAGAAATCTATTTCTTCACTGAGCCAGGTACCTTTACAGCTACCAGCAGCTGACTAGAGATGACGCTTTAATAATTGTTATTTCGTGAATCGTGAGTTTCAATAAACTAAAAAATATCATTGTATTATTGATTAGCCATGAAAAAGACTCAAACCGTATCTTAAACTAGTGATTCCGACTTGATAATTTTTACTCTGTTAATTACACACATGAATTGCGGACGCCAATGAGAACCATACTTTTTTTTTTTAGAATAGAATAGAATACGTTTATTTGCCAGAATCAATGACTTACAATTATATGGACGTCGGGTCCGCGCTAAAAAGTGTCCGAACTTATAGGGCGTTAAAATCGTATACAGAGCGTCATTCACGCTTTAGTCTTCGTTTGTTCGACTGACAACGAAGCAAGCAAAATTAGACAGTACTGCGATGACATTACAATTTAAATCTAACGTTTTAGCTTTTTCACATTCCTTTATATGTCACTACGTTTAAATAGGTTGACTTGGGACATTTTTTTCGTGGTTTGTGTATTAGACCCGTCGTCCATTTATTTGTAAGTCAATGGCCAGAACACAGTAATTACAAAGGTCTTAAGTAAAATTAGGTACATTGTATTCAACCTGCAAGCAGATGTGCAAATATTAATGGGATTCAATGTTTCTTTAGTCTCTATAGTTTCTAATTAATGTAATGAATTTGTAAATTCTAAGTATTCTTTATTACTAAAGAAGCAATGTGTCAAAAGCCATTTTGTCAATTTTAATTTAAAAGTATGTCCTTGTAACAATTTAATTTCGTTTGGTAATTTATTGTAAATAATTATACACATGTTGAAGCAGTTATTCTTATAAATTACTTTATGGCAACGAAGTTGGTATAAGAGATTCATAATTTTTGCTCTAGTTTGCCTTTGAATGACTTCACCGCGTGTTTTAAAATATTGAGGATGAGAGTTGACAAATACGCAGATATCCCTAATGTACATGCATGGCAAAGGTAATATGTTCAGCCTTTTAAACAGCGGTTTGCAACTGTCGCCGAACCACGCACCGCAAATTGCTCGAATACACTTCTTCTGGACTTTAAACGCTCTTTCTAAGATTACTGAGTTACCCCATAGTACATAGTACTTACGAAACGACTGGTAGGACGCGGGGCGTGGTACCAGTACTAGACCTGAAAATGCTTACAATGCTAAATGTGTCCCAACACAATTGAGAACAATTTCACAGAAGTATATTATAAAAAATAAAATATAAAAAACGTACTTACTTAGAAATAAAACACGTCATACATAAGTGAAAACCTGTTTTTTTTAAACGTACACACATAATATAGCCCCGCACTGGGGAAACCCTGTGTCGCGGGTGCCATGGACACACACACAAATAACCACAAATTACACCCAAACTCATGAGGTAAATAAATGTAGGCCATATGTATATAACCGTTCGGCCGCGGAGGCAGTTTAGTTAAATTAAAAAAAACAACCTTACATCGACAAAAACATTGACAAAATATCCTGTTAAATTTATGGATGTTTTATAGATTTTTTTAAATTGAGTATATCTATCACAACAAAAGTTATTGGTGGTAAAATAAGTGGTACTATCATTGACTTACAATTATATGGACGTCGGGTCCGCGCTAAAAAGTGTCCGAACTTATAGGGCGTTAAAATCGTATACAGAGCGTCATTCACGCTTTAGTCTTCGTTTGTTTGACTGACAGCGAAGCAAGCAAAATTAGACAGTACTGCGATGACATTACAATTTAAATTCAACGTTTTGGCTTTTTCATACTCCTTTACATGTCACTACGTTTAAATAGGTTGCCTTGGGACATTTTTTTCGTGGTTTTTGTATTAGACCCGTCGTCCATTTATTTGTAAGTCAATGGGTACTTTCATTTATTTGTTACATTTTTTTTTAGAGAAAAGTTGATGATAGACGTACGAGGTTAAAAATAGCGGTTTTAAAGTTTGCGCTCTTACTCAGCTCGATGTCGGCGACACACGACAGATTAGCTTATAATGTTACGTGATGTCGTCCACGTAGGTCTTGTGTTATTTGGGAATAATATAATATCACATTTTGAAAACTAAAAAAGAAGACAAAATCGGCGACTGTGGGTGTAGAACTGGCTTACGAAAAGAGCATTTATCACATGTAAATTCAGTAAGAGAGTTACCTGAAGAAAAGGAAGATTTTCGTAATTATTTAAGAATGCCCGAGTCGTTGTACGCAGAACTCTTGCACTTATTACACCTATAGTAGCTAAACAAGATACCTGCATGAGAGTAGCTATTTCATTTGAAACAAAATGGCGGCTCGTGACTCGCGACGCTGACAGCCATGCGAGCAGAGGCGGGCTACGATAAAGATTTCAAACATGTTTGATCGCTGATTGACTTGCGCGGCAGTTTTAAAATTACTTAGGGTGACACATGAGTGAAAAAGATCGTCGAGCCACAAGTACGCGTATTTACTTGTACATCTATCACCCACTAAAGGGTTAGTCAAAGGAAAAACTGCCATCTAACCTATTTTTGTCGCCAAGCAATAATGTGAGTATATAGTCCTACTTATCGATTTCGATAACAGGGACCCTTTGAGATTATTTCCTAGCGTGTGCCCTAATATGACTCGCCATACCAAATTTTGTCTTAAATGCCCGATCACAAACAGAGCAATAAAGGCCTGCAGAGTTGAAAGTATAGGAGGGCTTAGGTCTCTCTTTAGGATGCTAGTGACATTACAGGCACACGGGACTTGTCAACTTATGTCTCAGGTTGACGGGCGCAGTGGCAGTGACCTTCAGACCTTAGCGATTTAAAGCTTTAGGTGAACACTAGCACCAGGCGCACGACTTGTGTATCATAAAAAAATGTGATAACGGCAAGATGGCGATGATGCTAAAGCTGTACCTATCCCAGTTCTGTCTGATGCCCCACGTAGGACCAGTCCGGGATTTGAACTGCGTGCAATGTGTTAATGGATACCGCGGCGGTAACCCAATGCTCCTGCTGAACTTCACAAATTCAAAGCCATATTCTTTGCGGATTGCAGCTACTATCATCTGCAAAGAATGAAAATGGTATGGTGTATTCGTCCCTTGCATTGACTGCAAGTGTTCGCTCAACTATGCGGAGTAATCAACATTATCAAAACTGATAGATAATTTATAGAAAAACCGTTGTTTGAAACGGCAACATTATCAAATCTATACCTGATAATTAGTAGAAACACTTGTTTTAAACGGCAACATTATCAAAACTTTGACAGATATTTTGTGTCCCATGAAAAAACATCAAAATCGGTTCACAAATCTCCAAAAAGCCGGAGTTCCCGCGTAACATACATACAAAAAAAACATACAGTCGAATTAAGAACCTCCTTCTTATTTTGAAGTCGGTTAAAAATTATTCTAAACATAGCGACATGAGCTCGCATTTTTTCTTACCTTGATGTGGTGAAAATAATGAATGTTAATTTCAGGCAAGGCAGATGGATCCTCGAGAAGCACTAATCGTCTTCCATTAATTTTGTTGTCTAGAATACAGTTCTGGAATGAAACAAAAGAATGAACAAAATTTCTTACTCAGAAATTCAGGGTGGAGGTTCACAGCCTTTGGAAAACGTGTGAACAGTGTGTGACAACATGATACAATATGATTTTTGGTAGCAGTAGAGCTCCTTGTGAAAGAGTTCAAGGGAAGTACTGCCACCTTACCTATTTCCGCCGCCAAGCAGTACTGTGAGCATTACTGCGTTCTGGTTTGTAATTGCAAAGGTGCTGGTGTCGCTTAACACGACGCGCACGACCATTGTTCGTCCCGTCACTTGATATTATAAAAAAAAAACCTAGCCGATGGAGTGACCAAGTAACCGCTTTCAGTGACCTCCATTTTTTTGCGCTGGGAAATGCATTACGCATACCAGTCGGCCCGGAGGAGCAACTAGCGGTGTGTGGCCTAGTATACTCAGTAAACCTCAGCGGTTAGCCTCACCACCTTAAAGACGCCTCAGGGTCCGGTTGCGCTTACTGCTGGGATGCCTCGGTGGATGGCCTGAAGGGATCGGGCCCACGGGTCTAATCTTCAAGTACGTCAACGAAAACGTACGTCCGTCCGTTCAATCGTCTACACGCATCCACTGCTGGACATAAGCCTTCCCTTGAGCACGCGAACTCTCCCGGTCTTGTGCCGCCCGCATCTAATCACTGCCGGCCATCTTGCACAGATCGTCCGCCCAACTTGCCGCAGGGCGTTCGACACTATGTTTTCCTTGACGTGGTCGCCATTCCAGAACAAGTCCGCTCCATCGGCGATCAACCCTCTTGCAGATATGCCCGGCCCACTGCGACCTAAGTTTACTGATTTGCAAGCTATGTCGGTCACTTTAATTCTCTGACCTATAACCTAGTAAGGGATTCGGGCCATCGGAGAAAACCGACCGTTCGAAACTATCAAATCGCGTTGCCAATACATTCTTAGTTCTACCCCGATTCAAAACTCAAGTACGTAATTCGTAGTGGGATAATGGTCGTAACTACGGATTTCGTGCTCCATCTTCGGCGGATGCCCCGACTCCAGTCTTCAAGATCTAGAGGTAGAGAGAAGAAGGTAGACGTAAGGTAGGCGTACTGAGAGGACTGACGTACGTAGAAAGTCAGCGAGATGTCGTCCTCTTTTAGCCGCTCCGAAGCTTCCTTGTGGGAGATTACGCTCTCGCAAAAAGAGACCACTGCTTCCTAGCACCTGTCGCTGCCAAGCATTTTATAGCAACTGCACTGAGACAAGCCGAAGACATGGAAGAAAATCGTCCATATAGTCTTGAACAAGTTTCAATGTAAGAATATGGCTAAGATTAAGCAGATGCTATTGTTGAAAGTGTACATTTCTATCTTACCCTATATTCTGGTAATCCAACATCATTCGCCATCCAATCAGCAACTTCCTCTGGCGTCCAATCAAAAGCCGCTGGAAATTTGATGTCGTCAACCACTCTCGCAGCCAATTCGTATAGAGTTAGAGGCGAGTGCAGACATCGATGCAGCTTTCTGAAAATACATATCAGACAATATCATATAAGTGGCTCTGATCCATAAGTATCTAAACCACCCGTGTTACGGAAATTGGAAACAACGACATTACCACAAATACCCAGGCCCGAGACAATATAGAAAAGTTTCTAGGGATTCTTGTATAAGAAAATTTATGGGTACTACCAATTTAGTTTGGGGTTTCATTCTTTAGAAGTAAGACGCAGTTATGGTCTACTGATTTGTGCCGGTGGCACCTTGCGAGGAGATTCCGATTTCCACAGAATTGGTGGCACAACTGGTGCGCCTGTTCGTCCCCTCGCTAAATAATATTAATTTACGGCCATGCGTTCGTAATCTGCTGACAGTGCCGGCGGTGCGCTATGTGTCTCACAGTAAATCACCACTTTTTCACGCTCTGCACTGTCTTAATGCCCTTCTTGTATCTGTACATGAGGTTTTTGCAAGTGGATGGGTGGCTGTGTGTGACGAATGTTTGAGGTTTTGTGAGAACATGGATGAACGTCTTCTGTGAATTATTAATACAAATTGTCTACATTGACCCGGCCGGGGATCGAACCCAGGACCTCATAGGTGGCGACACCGTGAAAACCGGTGGCCACGGAGACCGTAAAATGCCTTGGTTACGAGGTTTAACACTAGCTAGACAAAACTCCATGGTAATTCCTGTTTTACTCTTGCAGGTGGTCTCTGATATTTGGAATATATATTGTAAATGATAAATGTATTCAAATGTATGTTCACAAAGAGCAACCCCTAGAGTTTCTTGCTCACTGCCTTACGAATAAGCAGTAGAGTGTAATGAATATTTATTTATTTATTAAGAAACAATAAAAGTTCGCAAACCATGTACTGTAACTTAATATTCATTTAATTAACCGACTTCAAAAAAGGAGGAGGTTCTCAATTGGACTGTTTTTTTTCTTTTTTTTTGTATGTATGTTACGTGATAACTCCGGTATTTGTGAACCGATTTTCATGATTCTTTTTTTGTCGGAAAGGGGGTACTTCCATAGTGGTCCCATTTCATTTTGAAGAAAATCATCCACTTTTAAGGGTGGCTGTTCACGCATGAAGATTCACTTTTATAAATAGCGCCTAACTTTAATTTAGGAGCAATTACTGTAATGGTTGATTTTGCTATTTCTCCAATTCAAGGCGTTTTTCTCAATATACTTTGTGTAGTGTCGTAGTGAGAACCTATTTTTATTATCTCCAGTGTCAAGTCCTGTATAGTGGCGAACTAGGGGATATTTCAATAAAACTTAGCAAATAGACGTAAATCCACGTACTTTTGAGGTCGGTTTTTTTAGTACTCTGTACTGAGATTATACTATAACACTCTTTTGCTTGTAACAGATGACAATTGTGCACAACATTGAAAAGAAACAGATTTAGTTAAATATTTATAATATTAAAAGAAAAAGAATAAACAAAATCAAAGCACCTTGGACCTAGTTTTGAGACCTCATAGACGCTATAAATGATTTTAAAGATTGGTGGAATATATCAACCTCAGTGCTAATCTTGTTAAAATTCCAGCACATACGAAACAACGGATCATTATACGACACATATGTTGTTAGTGGCATATAAAATCGTTATTGCGTGCCGTCAAAGTCAAGTGATCGTTTATTCCATAGGTAAAATTTAACTGCCTCTGTGGCCGAACGGTGACCATGCCGGACTGCCGCGCAGAGGTCCCAGGTTAGATTCCCGGACCGGGAGAAATGTTTGCATTGCCTACATTTATTTTTCTCGTGAGTTTGGGTGTAATTGTTGTTGGAGACAATGGTGAGATATCAAGTCGAGGTCTTCGAAATATGCGTGAATGTGTTGCTTGTTTGATTTATTGAGTGATTGCTTTAGAATTTTAACCAAACACCATTGACTTACAAATAAATGGACGACGGGTCTAATACAATAAACCACGAAAAAAATGTCCCAAGTCAACCTATTTAAACGTAGTGACATGTAAAGGAATATGAAAAAGCTAAAACGTTAGATTTAAATTGTAATGTCATCGCAGTACTGTCTAATTTTGCTTGCTTCGCTGTCAGTCGAACAAACGAAGACTAAAGCGTGAATGACGCTCTGTATACGATTTTAACGCCCTATAAGTTCGGACACTTTTTAGCGCGGACCCGACGTCCATATAATTGTAAGTCAATGCCAAACACTCTCGTTTGCTGTTTGTTCGGAATGGATTGAAACAGACTTTACATCCTTTCTAGAATTGGTTACCTACGAGACAGGCTTTGCCTAGTGTAGGAGCCAGTGTAACCGGTTTAGATAAAGTTTAAAAGTACATGTCTTAAACATACGTATTCCATAAGGTGTAATATGTTCCTGTTATCGGTAACTGAACTGTATTTATTTTCATGTACATAATAAATAAATTACAAAATTACTAAATTTGTGGTTGTCTATGTGTGTGTCCATGGCACCCGCTACACAGGGTTTGCCTAGTGCGTGCGTGTTGAGTGTGTGCGTTATTTTAAACGTAAATTTTTACACTTCAAAACGTGATTTCTTTAAGCTACTTTTTAAGCTACTGCTCATTCACTACGCTGACCTCCCTGAGAAGAACGAGCGAGAAACTCTTTTCAAACAAACTTAAATGCTATGGATTCATTATTGTATGGAATCAAGGCTGATGTTGTCTTTCCATACTTCTTTATCTAACAAATACTCTTCAATTTTGTAATATGACTTTTCAATTAAAATACTTTTAATGCAAGTTTTAAACTTAGGAAATGATAATTTTAATATATTCCCCGGAATCTTATTGTAAAAACATGTACAGTTCCCCATAAAAGAATCGTTTATCTATTAAACGAAATCGTGGTACCATGAGTTTGGACTTAGTTCTAAGGTTAATGTTATATCTTCTTTCTTAATGAAATCATGCATATGGGCATACAAAATATTTGAGTAAATGCACTGTGATGCCACAGTCATGATACCCGAGAACCTAAACGGTACACAGAACAAATCTCTCGTTTTTGCAACACAAATATGGTTTGTATATTATCTGCCGCTTTACCCCATACGAGACGGTAATCTTCCAATCATAATCCCAACCCAATCTAACAATTTACTAGCATCCTGTGGGATGATTTTAGAGATTTCAGAGTTAAGATAGATAGATAGATAGATAATAAGTTTATTCAGCACAAATACAAACAGAAACAAAACATTTACAATCACTTCACAGAGTATAACATAAAAGCACATAGAACATTCATTATTAATTTTATACACATTTATATAAAACACATATTGCGAGAAAAACAAATACTGTGAGAAAAACAAACAAATACTATAACAACTGATAAAATTTTAATGTACTTATGACTACAGTGTGTGCTGAAATGGCCCTGACTCAGCATAAATACTGTAGACCGAGAGAAGTCAGACAGTGCTGGTTTTCTGCTAGTACCGTATGGTGAGCGATCGCAGCCCAGTAAGCCATGCCACCAAAGTGCATCACACGCAAATATATATACCTAACTCTAAATACTATACATATATGTATATGTCAAGTAAAAGTGTACGATGTAAAGCAAATAATGTAAATAGTGTAAGTAATGAAGGTAAGCAATATAAATAATAATGTAACTTTACAAACATAATATTAAATTATAATACTAGCCACCAAATATGAGTATGTATAGGTACGGAAATTTAAGTTTACAGGTATCAAACGCATTGATTAGGGAAATATTTATGTAGCGAGACACATCTGCTCTGACAATAGATGTTTTTTTATATTCACGCTTAAATCGCTTTTTATTATTATTAACCAGTTTAACAATTTAAAGTTAACCAATTTATATAACACGGCAAAGCTGTGCGACGAGCGTCTACTCTCTAAGGTGTCAATTTTAAAATACCTTAACCTATCTTCTGGTCTTAAAACCCATTGTAGTTCTTAAATGTTTCAAGAAACGCTTGTGCGTACATTCGATTCTACTTTTATGTCGATCGTAATACGGAGACCAAATAACTGAACAATACTCCAACTCTTCGAATCAATGCATTATATGTATAAAACCACAATGCCGCATGGATCTCCGAATATGACCATTCCAAGTGTAATTTGCTTATCTATGGAATAAAGGTGCCTGTGTATGCAAAATTAACTCACACACGTTTCTTGTAAGGCGTTTCTATGGGGAAACAAAAACATTGCGCGCAAGTAGTCTTGTCAGCGCTCACGTAGTGTATCCTTGGAGGCGGAATAACCAACGAAGGTGCCCTCCGCGGGAACTTCAATTTTGCAGGTCGCTTTGGTCGTGCGGGCTCATCGTTTTTTGGTGCTGACACCTGTATACATAAAATACGATCAATTGTATCTATTTCTTAGGTTTTTTTAGGTTACGTTTGAAATGAAACCAGTTCTCAGATAGCGTAAATTTGTTTTTTTCTTCAAAGAAACCAAGTTTTCGGCCCTTTTACAGGTTTTCCTTATGATACCACCGCATTCTCACTTTAGACCGTTTCCAGCTTAATTGCCTCCATTATGAACATCAGAAGGTCCGATCGAGTGCGTAATACCGAAGTCCTGGGACGAGCTAATGTTGATGACATTGAGGGTTACCTAATGCATTGACAGCTTCGATGGCGCGGTCACGTAACACGTATACTCTGAACTTGAGGAGGGTAGGTGGACGCCTAGCGGTCCACTCCTCAGGTATAAAGATGTTCAGAAGCGACATGTCAGAAGATTTCACCTATTTCCGCCGCCAAGCAGTAATATCAGCATTCCAGTTTGAAGGGTAAAGGTGCTGGTGAAAGTACAGGCACATGGGACTTGTCAACTTAAGTCTCAGAATGACAGGCGCAGTGGCGCAGATCTTTGCGATTTAAAGCTCTGAGTGGCACTGTAACTGTTATGGACAGGCGTGTCGCTTACCATCAGGCGCACGACTTGTTCATTCCGTCATTTGGTATCATAAGAAAAATAGAATTCCTATCAATTCCTATCATCATCGGTGTCAACCCATTTGGAATGGGACGTATCCCACTGCGGCGCACGGGTCTCCTCTCAGGGTATAGTCCGCCACCCTGGCCCTATGTAGGTTGGAGATTTCACCCGTTTTCCCTCCCCGAAAAAGCTCATAGTAAATTTATATTCAATTTCGCACATATATTCTGAATAAATCAGAGGTTGCGTATTCAAAACCACGGCCTTTTAATAGTTCCTAAATTTATTACAATAGCACAAACCGCAGAAACCGCTGGTGCATCATTGTGCTCGTCTTCCATATTTACTTCTTAACAAAAATATATTTTTCAAATATTTCTTTAATATTTTTTAATAACTAAATATCCAAAAACTTCAGTAAGGTAATTATTAAATTTTAAAATTATCGAAATTATTATCTCTATTGATTGTTTACATGTCATGTAAAATATCACTGTCATATTGACAGGTCTGACAGTTTAATCAACGCAAACTTTTTAAATTTAATCAAAAAAGCGATTGTATTTATCATAGTTGAGTTTCATCTTGACGATCATTCTTGGACTTATACTAACTAGCTAACTGCCTCCGTGGCCGAATGATTGCAATGCCGAACTGCCTCGCAGAGGTCCCAGTTTCGATTCCCGGGCCGGAAGAAATATTTGTATGGCCTACATTTATTTCTGTCGTGAGTTTCGGTGTGATTTGTGGTTGTCTATGTGTGTGTCCATGGCCCCCGCGACACAGGGTTTCCCTAATGCGGGGCTATGTTCAGTGTGTGCGTTATTATTATTATTAATACTATTATTTATGTATTCAATTTTTTTCATTCACAAAAAAAATTGTGCCCAAGTTACTATTAAGTAATTTTTCTTTTATTATGGCTTAACTTCATGCTTTTTGACCATACCATTATTAAGTGTGTCCAGGCGATTATTCCATAAATATAAGAGATATCTAAAAGCTTTAAACTGATATCGAAAGTACGTTACCTAATGTATAATCGACATCAATAACTTTTTTTAAATAAAACTAGAATTATCCAAAATTTGAACATTAACTCTCCCATACATAAGTTTTCATACTGTAAGAGGTAATAATAAGTTAAGTTAACAAATGACAAAACTAGGCTTATTCCCATTTGATCCCCTAAACCGATCCCCTGGGAGATCCGTATTATTTTAAATTATTTTCTATTCCATCAGACCCCCAATGCAGGGGATCAAGCATAAATATTAATGTTTTATTCCCAGCTGATGCCCTGGTACTTACAAATTTATTTTTGGTATGTATTGTGGTACAGTCAATAAGAAAATGTATTTGAGGGTTGTACAGTATTTTATTTAGCTTATTAAAACTGAACAACATTAACTGTACTAACTTACATAACTGTATTAACTCTGATTTAAAACTTTTTTCTCTTGACTGTACTTACTTACCTTACAATGCAAAATATAGATGGGATCAGTTGCAATTTAAAACTGTTGGTGGATCAGTTTTGGGGATCAGATGGTAATAACCCCAAGACTAATAGAAATAAAATAATAAAACTATCTTTTATTTGAACAAAAATATAAGTAAATGAATATAATTGATCAACATTTTTTTTAGTGCTGATCGACTCAGTTTCTTGTAAGAATCATTTCATTGCATGGAACGAAAAAAATCGGGACAGCAGAAGTTAAATTTAATAAAAAGTTTTATACAAACATACAAACAAAACCAAAAACTGAACCGAAAACCGAAAATTGATATTATTTTTCTTGTCCCCAGGTCCACACACGCATTGCTTACCTACGACACCTCATCGTCTCTCTGGCCCAAGCGAGAGACATTGACAAGACGCTCCTTGTCTTCTCTCACGACTACTATGATGAAGAAATCAACAGCCTCGTTAAAACAATCGATTTTACAAAGGTAAGGTAGCATGTGTTGTACGCACTGCCTACGCGTCGATGAGACACTCTCACGGCATTGAAAAACTAGCGGCAGAACCTTTCACCTGAGGTTAGACTTCAAATTACAATTTTGTACAACGCTGCAGTGGGACCACTACTCATTTTCGTTCAATATCTTTTATATTTAATGAGTAATTTATTAATAGAGTAATTTCACAAAAAATAATTGAATATCAATTCAATAAAAATTTAATTAATACAATGAATAGCGACATCTCTCGCCAGGACTGGTAGCTGTAAAGGTACTAACTGGGTGGTAAATCTGTGATAGATTTCTCATAGATGGCGCTACGACTAAAAAGTCGTTGAAAGACCAAGTACAAAGACACGACGCAAGCACATAGAAAAATTCGTGAGGTCCGTTGGTTCGTTCCGTGGCTTAGTTGGTATAGCGTCTGGCACGGTATGCAAGAAGACGTCGGTTCGAATCCGACCGGATCGAAGGAATTTTTTATGAGTGTTTTTTCCGAGTGTTCGATCTTTGTATTAATAATTATCTTTTATATTTATTGAGATGAGATGAATACGAAGATACGAAGAAGAATAACCTCCTCACCGCTGCCGATACCTTTACAGGTATCACAACTGAGGCAGATGTCACTTTTCGATCAAATGTATTTATCGAGATTTTTGGTGAATTAACTTGGTTTTGTTTTCATTATGAATTGAAAAATTTTATCGACCCGGTGGGACTTGAACACGCGAGCATGCTGCACCGCAACATTGCTCCAACTGTCTGAGCCACGGGTCCAGTTACCGAGTCGTTGAATTTCTCTCCTATGTGTTTTTGTTATAGATCTTTGTACTGACTTTCGGCATTCGTCGCCACTTGTGACATCTAGTGAGAGATTTTTGATTAAGAGGGAGCAGAGGAAATATTGCTAATCTTCGATTTGATTTTAGAGGGGTATATCCACTTTAAAGTTAAAAATAAAATATTGTATGAGTAACTACACGATATATTCAAGCATAGACACTAACCAGAAACATAAAACAATAAAGTTTCCTCGATAGATAAAAATCACGAAATGACCTCTAATTTTCACATATTTTCGATTCATCCTCGAAATGCTACAGGTTATTAGGACAAAAATTAGATAATTAATTATATTTATGCATGATCGAGAACTGTCACTACGGATTTTTTTAAATCCCTTTAGTTTTAGAGTTATTCCGCTAAAACGAATTTGGTATTTTTAAGGCTCAAAATTCTACATCTCCTGTCGCATGTCACGCGAACTTCAGCCATATATTTGTCTCACAAATGTGGGCGGAGCCAACGTCAAAACTTTTTTGGCATGCTCCCTCTTAAACTAAATTTTTTCCGTGTCTTCGATCTTTGTATACATAAACATAATATCTAATAATAGTCTGCAAAAGTGGCACGACTGTGCCGCTGCAGCTGAAGTACATCCAATTTTT